GCTTTATGGTGTGAGCCTGCAAACACAGTCATGATCATCTCATACATATACACAAATGTCAGTTTGTGACATATGGATTTATACATTCTGATTTACACAAGAATGGTTTCATTCCTCTGTAACTGAGGAATCAAAAGTCACACTAATTATTGCAAAACATGGCATCATGTATCTTGAAAAGTTGTTCCATAGCTTTGATTAAAAACTTATTTTCTAGAAAAAACAGAAACCAAGTTGTAACTTTGGAACAATTTCTCTCCTCTTTCCCAGCTTTCCCCCACAAACCAGATGTCAGAAGAAATATTTAAATTCTCAGCAACCAAGTAGGAATAACAATTTCACTGCAGTACCCCAGTAGTATACACAGCAGTTCTTCAGGTGAACTCTATCTAGGAGAATCAAAATAGATGTAAAATCCAAACTAATTTTACTAATTCAGAACTTCATAATTCATATGTCCAATTTGATTAAGGTACTATATAATTAAGATAAACAGATATGTAAATCTACATTCACTTTATTGCTAGTCTCAGTTTTAATATATTTATATTTTCAGAAATCACTCACTGCAGATTAGTGGGATGCTGCAGAGACATTTTTGATCTGCTGCCCAGTATTAAATTAGATTGAGTACTCACTGTCTAAATTTATTGCAACAGATGACATCGTCAGCTATCCAGTTATTTTAGTACTATTTGACACAACGTAATTTAAAAAATCTTGTATGCAGGTAAAACATTTAACAATTCCCCAGTAAATTAATCCCTTTGGTGTAATATTCAAAAGCAGGAGAGTAAAAAAAAGCAGCAGCTTCTTTCAGATCAGCATGACATTGCAGCAATGTCTTTTTTCTTGACATTCACCTTACTGCGTAGGAAATGGATTACATTCTGGTTTGTATGATATTTTTTTTATAGTGTTTAACAGTGGCTGTTTGGAAAATCAGGCTCTATCTGTCTGTTGAATATATACATACATAAGCTACACAGTTGCCTGCACAGTAAGGGGGAAATCCAAGCTCAAAATCTTGTGCTAATATGGTCGACTTCCCCTGCTCCTTGTGCAGCAGGAAGTGAGGTGGCCAAGGCAGCATTTGTGTGACAAATCTTAAAAGCCATGCAGCTTACATAAGAAGCTTTATGAAACTGAGAAGTTAAGAGGGAAAAACGTAGAAAATAACAGCCCACACAGAAGAATTCTTGTTTGAAAAACGTTGAGTCAGAGCTGACAAAGCCTTCTTAAGCTACCATAAAAGCAATCAGATGCCTAACAAGGAAAATAAATGGAAAAAGAACTGACTGCCCTGGAATTTCTATTAAAACAGATCAATATAGTACATGGACATAAAAAAAGTCTTTTCCGTTTCACGATGAAAGCAGAGATTTCTCGGATGCTTACTGAATAGGAGAGCAAGCCTCTGCAGCACCAGAAATTATTTTGGTGGAAGATGTCTGCGTGTTTAAGGACATGAACCATAAATAATTAGGAAGGAATCTGTTCAAATAACCAAATTTCACCACCTGAAAAATAGACTCTAATATCTAGACAAACTGTAGCTGTGGCCTCTGTTGTGACTTCAGGGTGTGATTCTACTACAGAATGTCCAAAACTGTCCAGAATGTCTCAGCTCTAAGAAAGCATGAAGATGGTACCAAAAGCTAGTCACCAAGAGACCTTGCACAGTGGTGTCTTCAAAATATACCTCTAAAACTTGTGATTAACTATTTCTTTCAGTCTTCAAGAGTTCCACTGGGAATTTGGCGTGGGGAATATAACTGTCAGTTGTTCTGTAGTTGATTTATATTTGCTATGCCAACTGTAATTGGGAACTACAGACAAAGCTAAGAGCTTGTGACAAAAATTAATATTTGGTGATAAGTATCACAGGCTTTTCCTCCCGAGTGATGACCCAATTAGTTTCTTAATCACTTCCTAACAGTAATTTTGCTGAAAGGTGTGAATATGCAAGTATGCTTACAGATAGCCATTAAAGCACATGACTGATACCAGATGAGACCTATTCAACAGGGCAAGAAGGATGCATTTAAGAATAGGCTGTAAATTAGTATATTTTGTACAGTCAAAGTAAAACTATTTTGTGTTTGTGTACCATGATGCAGTTATTCAATGTATTCACCAGAAAGTTAGGAATTTATCTTTGATTCCTGCATTTAGTAGAAATAGAAATTCACAGCATCAATTTTGTTGCATGCCACCCTGGTTATCTATAAAGATGTCATGGTTTGAGAGCCCCAAAAATCCAATTCCCTAGTCCTAGCCCCCTCCCACATCTCAATCCAGTGTGAGATGGTTTCCAGACACCACACAAGACTCAAAATGGGGGAAAGGGAATATATTACAATGACTGTACAAAATAAATACTACAAAACATTATATACAATCTTAATTATCTCTACCATGACATGAGTATTTACAATGGATCAAATCTCTTCCCCCCTGCAAATAAAAGTCCAGGAGGGAAGAAGGAAAAGATCCTTTTCTACTCTCAGAGCAGTAGTGTCTCTAAGGCAGCAGGTTCTCTTCTTCTCATGCAGCAGCTGGATCTGGATCTCTACCAGTACACACGAGGGGTATCCAAGCCCCTCGGCCCGTCGTCTTCAAGCGAGGGTCTTCTCTTCCGTGGACTGCGTAGCAGGGACAAAACTCGCTTCACCACGGTCATATCATGGGGTGTAAGACCCCCATGAAGGTCCCTTCCTCAGGGGATCCACCCCTGAGTCAGAACATCTCGGGCAGCTTTCAGTTGAAGGCCTTTGCCTCAAGAGTTCTACCAGAGCTCCTGTGCTCTGTCTCAAGCAGCGGGGGGGGCCAAGGTCACCCTCTCTGCATTCCTTTGGCCATCCTGGTCCAGCTTTCCAGGACACTTTGAGCTTTTCAGCTCCTCTGCAGTGCATGTTGCACTTCACCCCTCCCTTCCAGGAGGTGAGGGGTCTCCAAGGAGTTTGGGGTTTCAGTTTTAGTTCTTACCCAAACTTTCTCTGTAGAACTCAGTTCTCTCTCTGCTGCCGGCTCTCTATCTCTTTCTCTCTCTCCTTCCAGGAGTTCTCTCTATGTGCTGCATGTCTGTTGTTGCTGCCCGATCTTATCTCTCCTGGCGCTCTGTCACCGTTTCTTCGGTCAGTGCAGTTCTGCCGCCGCTTTTCAGTATCTCTTGCTGCGGTTCACAGTGGAGAAACATCCCCCAGCTCATAGCTACAGATACATAGTCCAGCTTAACACTGTTCCAAGTCTCTGTAGCCCCCCTGCTGGGGGCTGGGGGGGGCCCAGCCCCCAGTGGGGCTGCTGCTGTTTCTCCTCGTGGCTCTTACAACATGGCTACTTCTCCAACAACAACTACAAAAGATATCTGCATAGATTAAGGATCAGGGAAAATCTGAGTGTGCTCCAATTATTCCACAGTCTTCTGTCCCGTTTTCTTGCTGCCGCCTTTACTACTGAAGGGTGTGAGCACTGTTTACTGTGTCCAGACCCTGTACTGATCTCTTTCATGTAACACACACACATCTGGATTATGTATCTCTACGTAACAGCTGCATAGGTACTCAAGCCTGCTGTGAGAGAACCATCATGCAGCCCTTAATGGCCCTGTGCTCTGCCATACAAGTGGTGTGGGTTTGCACTAGCTCCCTATTTCTTTTTTTTCAAGCGTTTTCATTACACATCACAGATGCTAATTTCAAGGAATCAAATTTCTCCTTAGTGTAATATTAATAACAATCCTTAATCCCTTTCTTTTCTGCAAATGTTTTGTAACTGCAACTGATTACAAGGGGTAAATCAAACAACATTTCGCCAAAGTCTCTTTTCTCTAATCAAATGGCAAAGTTCCTCAGAAGAAATCTTAGTTTAAAATGTAGTTATCCGTTATGTTTTACAACTTTAATGTTCTCCCAGGGTAGAATTTGAAAGTTAAACAAAGCACAAGGAAGATTTAACCTCACCTTAGTGAAATTTCAAATAGCATTAAATTAGTAGGAGTTGCAAAAGGCAATGAAAACTGACAAACAACAAAGTAGATGTTACTGAAACTAGGCACATTATTTTTTTTTTAATTATATTTGCTTTGGCTAAGTGTGAGCTCCATCAGTGTGATGTTAATATTTTCCACTGATGTTACTCTATTGTTATATTTTATCACAGATAAGTATTGTATAGTACATTGTACCACACACAGAGCACAGAAATTGTTGATCTATGCATGCTACATAAAATAATCTTAAATACTTTGGATGTAAAAATTTTGAAAGCTGCTGTATTGAAGGGGATCTAGGAATGACATTGGACAAAAAAATTAGTCATTAGTTTGTAATGCACTGTGGCTACCAGAGAAGCCACTTTGGGGCCACTTATGTAAATGTTTCATGCCAGAAACAACAGATATAAAATTCTCTTTCTAAATGACTCTGTTATATGCATTCTCAGCCTGACGGTTATGAACAGACATGAGACTCACAGCCTCTTTCACCTTCCCTTTACCATAGATAAGCAGGGGATAGCACATGATGTACACATGATGGAAGTTCAGTATAGAAACGGAAATGGTGATACAGGAAAAAAATAATATTTTTTCATGGAACTTTGTATGGAATATTTGCAAAATCAAATTGCCCAAACAAGAAAGAAAATGCAAAGAGTAAAAATAAGTGCAGCTATTCTAAAATTTAGTCTACTATGGGAATAATAGTTCAGCAAAAGTTAAAGCTGAACCAATCTACTGAGGGGAAGAGGATTGGTTTGGGATTTCTGGAGAGAAGGCCAGGTTCAAAGCATTTTTCAGTGCCAGCCATGGCTGGGCAGGTGGGGTGTCAGCATGTGGCTCTGATCCTCACATCCTGTGTTGACATCATGTGGCTCTGATCCTTTGTGTTGACATCACAAAGGACAAGTCACGGAGCGGTGTCACCACATGTGTCAGCCAGCAGTGCTGGCTGCTGCAGTGTGGCTCCAGCCAGCAGAGAGTGGGGCAGGCAGGGGGAAGGCTGGGCTGGACAAGGGCCAGGGCAGCAGTGCTGGGGCATTTTTAAGGTTGTAGTCAGGGTTCAGGGGCTGCTGGGAGCAGGGCAGGGCAGGTGCCACCCTCAGGGCCAGGCACAGAAGTGCCCGGAGCTGTCAGCCAAGGCGAATGTCCATTCCCACAGCCCTCACCAACCTTCCCCTTCATAAATCTGATCTCCCTCATCCCCTCTCCCACCCATGCCCAGGACCCTGTGCCATCTCCCTGCCATCGAGCCCTGCTGAGCCCCTTCTCTCCTCCTCCTCCAGGCCGTTGAGTGTCACCCAAATCCTGACGTGCTGAGCATCCTGCAATGCTTACTGTGGGTGGGTGACCAGGCAGAAGACATTGTGCAAGAGCTCCTGTAGCACCATGAGGAGCAGCGGAGCTGGGAGGTGACTTGGCTGCTGGGGGAAATGGAGCAGAGGAGCATGCTAGCTTCAGCCAGGAGAGTGTGGTCCTCTCTACCTACCAGCACTGGTAGTTCTGGGCCTCTGCTGAAATCCTCCTCATTCTCTTTGAGCTCTACTGGCTGTCCAGGCAGAGCAGTGCAGGCTCTGACAGCCGGAGTTCTGAGGATGAGAGGGAGGAGGAAGATAATAAGCACCAGAGCACTGCCAGCTGAGCAGCGGAGTGGATCTGCCGATGAGTCATTCCTACATCCATGCCGGAGAAAGTTGTTGTGATTCGTCCTCTCTCATGTGACAAACTGAAGTCAAATACCTGCTTCCTGCACAATCTCTGTACCTGCTCCCACTTGTGATGCTCCTCCTACCAGGAGGCACAGGAGGGATTTACCCTATGTAAATATGTCAATAAATTTGCTTGTTTTAAGAAATCCTGTGTCTGTGAGTGTTTAGGCAAGACTTTCTTAGGGGATGTTACCCCTTGGCTCCCTCTCCCCTCTGTAACATAGATGAAGTTTGTGATCAAATTTGCACTGGCAGTGTATAAGCATAAGCTTAGACATTCAGCACCTCCTCATGATGTTCACTCTTTTCCCATTTTTCACAGAAAGGGATATTCCTGAAATGAAGATCTTTGTTGAAGTGAAATTGAATTTTCACCTGATTGATCTTTTCCTGCTTTATCACTGCTTCATGTTTGCAATATGATCATAGAACTATTTGCAATTGCAAAATTCAAAAGTTGGAAATGATCAAGAGTATCTCCACTCAGATTTCCAGACAGGTGAGCGGAGTTCTTCCTTGTCTACAGGACAGCTACTACTTTTATATAAAAGAGATGATGATGCAGCATCTCTACAGAGCATAGGCAAAAAAAACAGTAAAGAGCTGACATTGCCTCAGGAGAAAACAATTTTCTTTAAAGCAGCATGAGTAGTACCTTTACAGCTGAGGAATTTCAGCACAGTGCTCCTACTGAGTGTAGAGAATGAACAAGCTGCAGGGCTGCAGCCAGGTCACCAGGCCATTCTTACTGCCCCGCTCCTACTCCTGTCACTGCCCTTAAAGCAGCAGCACCCCAGGGTCTGGCTGCCACCCCAAGCTGCAGTCACAGCCTCCAGGCTCCATCCCAAGGATCCACTGGTGGGCTGAAGGGAAGACCATCCCCTGGCCTGGGGCTAGCCTGTTTTACCGGGCTCACTAAGGAGCAGTAAAAAGCAAAGCTAAAAAAAAAAAGGTAAATTAAAACAGCTTTAAGTATTGCGTCCTGTTTTTTGTAGAAACTCTCCAAAATACAGAAGAAGAAGATGTTTGAAAGGCAGTGCAGGAACTCTTCTTAAGTCTGTGGGAATTTCTGTTCATAGGGAACTTTTAACCACAGAAATATCTGTTAGGGTAAGAGGCCTTTGCTTTCCTTAAGTCAACCTGAACACAGCCTGGAGACCTATCAAGTCAAACATTATTTTTCTGCCTGGTTTAAGTGGTAAAGGATGATTACCCATCTGCTTTATTTACCTAACTTTTATTGAGATTGCATATCTATGCCAAAGGTTATCTCAACTTATTTCTTCTGCTGAGTGCTTTTATTGAGGGCCATGTCTCATGACATTAAGTGAAAAGCAATGCAGTAGAAGGTACGTAAGCAATTGCACAGAGTATTAACTTCTAATACAGCATAGAGCAGCTTTTATGAAATATGGGCAGCTGTTTCCAGAGTGTTAATTATTCTTATTTCAGATAAAATTAAAACTAACTTAAGTAACGATGCCATTTTACAGCTGTAGCAAGTAGCATGAAAAGATCATTCTTTCATAAAAGATAACAAATAAAGTGAACATCAGCTTAGAGCAGAAGGCGAATGACACTGTGGAAAGAAAACCATTGGACCAAATTTCTTTAAGTCACCTTTCCTCTACTCCTACTTCACAACATTTTTTGGCATGTATGCGCTATTTTGATTTTCTGTATATTCTTCATTCGTGTTGCATCACATTCATCATTACTAAAGTAACCTCTATCCAGAAAATCTTCTTTTTAAGGGTTATGACATAAATCCTGTCCTATTCAAGTATAAAATAACCTTGGATCTTGCGGGATCAAGGCTACTCTCTGAGTGGGTGTACAACGCTGCTGCTCAGGTGAATGTATAACTCTCAACATTTTAATGACATCTCCTATTTTTTGCAGATTCTGAAGTGAATGTTTCTTGGAGAAGGCGAGTTCATGTATTTTACAGGGAAAGTGCTGTACAAATGGAACAGCCACATATCAGCACAATTAATATTTTTTAATTATTTTACTTTTTTCCCAGTTAACTGGACAAAACAGGTCCACACAGTTGTGTAGTTTCTTAAAATATGCCAGCATTTATCTTCAGCTGCACGAGAAGTAATAATTCACCTGGCTCCCTGTGCTCACAGTAGTCCCTGAAATAGTCCATGAGCACGGAAGAGGCCTAATAATTATGCTACATGGAGCAGGAGGAGAGGAAGAAGAAAGAAAGGAAAAAAACCAGAATGGCACCTGTTAAATTTTACAGAAAAATACTTTTCCAAATGACTGAAGTCCAGAAAATATCAGCCAGAATTAAAGTTTATTGCAAAAAAATATAATGGAGTACGCTACCTAAAAGTATCTAATATTTACTAATTCCTTTGGTTTTCATTATATGTTACTAATTTAATTGGAAAATATGTTCAGGTCATTTGATTCAGCGAATTTGGGCAGTATTCTTAGTAATAATATGTTATAAGATGAAAAGAGACTTTTTACAAGAGCAGATAGGACAAGGGGGGATGGCTTCAAACTGAAAGGGGAGGTTTAGATTAGATATTAGGAAGAAATTCTTTACTGTGAGGGTGGTGAGGCTCTGGAACAGGGTGCCCAGGGAAACTGGCATGTCCCATCCCTGGCAGTGTTCAAGGCCAGGCTGGGTGAAGCTCTGAGCAACCTGGTCTAGTGAAAGGTGTCCTTGTCCACAGCAGGAGGTTTGGAACTAGATAGTCTTTAAGGTCCCTTCTGACCCAAATGATTCTATGACTCTATTATATATGAATTTTAAAAAGCTTTGTATCGTGGGAAGCGTTTAATGGTCTTCCAGAACAAATTCCACAATACAATACCATACAATATACTATACAATAGTCAGTGAAATAAAAAATCTAACTATGAATGATGAAATCTAGTACAACAGGACAAAATCCTTCTGAAAAGAATAAGAAAGAAAAGAAAATACCAGTTTCAGGAGACCTTTTATTGTATATAGTACACCACATAGTGAGTACACATTAACATTGCAGCTATGGTTTTACATTTTGAGTGAGTGCTGAAATGCTGCATGAAGATTTAAATCCTCAATAAGAAATAAAATGCTTTGTGGAGGACATTTACAGCTCACTTTAAAATCCAATCCAGATAATTTTTTTCAATAATATATTTTCCTGGAGCAAATGTTCCAGTCTCTTGCTATTAATTTTTATCCATACATTCTTTTAGTTTATGAGATTTTTATGGAAAAGCTTGGTTGATGATCCAGACATATAATATTTTATTTATGAACAACCAGAAAATGGAATGCATAAAAATTTGATGCAACAGTTTCATTTTAAGATATTGTGACTATGTATTAGTTACTGCAGTATATCTTTTGGGGTTGCATTTGCTCATCTAATACAAAGCAGGATCTGCCTTGAAAATTAGGGCAATGAAATCAGCATCCGCAATAATTTGAAGCTGTATTTGAATTTTTATGATCTGGTGCAGCAGATTTTTAGGTACTTTAAGAATCTGCCTGATCTCAATGAAGGTATCACAGGAGTAAATTAACCTTACAACTAGGTTTTTTCCATCATGAATCATGAAACAATTAGAAATTAATTGTAAGTGTTTAACAAAGAAATGTCCAAGAGGGCTATAAATTTAGCAAAGACAGTATCAATCCCTTTGGTATATTAGTTTAAGAAGCTGGAGGGAAAGGGAGGAAAGGAATTCAGCTACTGGAGGTTATGAGATATTAGTTAATGTAACTTCAAAGAGTAGTAAGGATATTTCTCATTAGATTTGTTTGGCTTTGTTTTTATTCCTTTTCTAAACTATTTTATCCTAGTTTCTAAAAGCTGCAAGATCTTAAGCTATACTGGAAGGCTCAGATGTCATTTCTTCGTTCTTGCATGCATATTTTAACAAAGCTGAAGTTACAGTAAAATAATAATAATAATAACAACAATGTTATTTCAGAGGAACAGTTCTCAAGAAAGTTATAAATAAAGATAATACATTTAGAAGCAATTTTACTCTGTAGTGTTCTCAGAAAACTGCATGCCAATCCACTTCATATGGACCTGCTGATCTGTAAGCAAGATTTGACACTAATCTGAGAGTTGACACTACTGAACACCATTAATGGACAAAACTGATTTTTCAAATTACATCAGCCAAAGTCTTAGTGCCAGAAAAACTTCATGAAAATCATCTGTCCACATTTTTTTTCATCTTAACCCAGTGAAAACTGGAATACTGTTCCATCAGAGGAAGTGAAATTACACCAACAACATCATTAGGTAGTACTGTGTTGTTCCACAACCAAATATACACCTAATAAAAGTTTCAGCAGTATTAAAGCCTCTGTGAGAGGAAACTGGCCAGTAGGATGAGAGAATAGAGTCGGTGCAGCAGGCCTGGAGCAGCAGCTACCGGAGACACTGAGCTGCAAAAGACTGAGTGTCATGTTTGGAAGGAGCAGGGCTGGATGGAAGTAAACAACTGGAGTTGGTTATTGAGGAAACAACAGCAGGAAGACATGGGGCCTGTGCATCACAAGGAGAAAACAACATAATCAAACTACCTTTATACCATATGAGCCTGGGCTCTCTGGAATAGCGATGATCATTTTTAGTTTGTTTCAGTTGTTCAAATCCCTTATGCCCAGGGCACTTTTATCTCATTAGTAAATGTTCCTGCAGATCAAGAGAAGAAATGGGAAAAAAAAAATGGTCCAGAAACAGTCCACAGGGTAGTCCTATTAAGTTAATCTTAGTCACTTTTGTTCCTAGGATAGCCACTGTGACCTGTTTACCTCTCCATACCAGCTTTTGGGACAGGTCAGTCTTCAATTCTGTCATTTTTCTACCTCTGTTAAGCAGCTTAAGGAAAAAAAAGCTGTCATTGCTATTAATTTTGGTCAGACCCTCTGTCATCTTTCTGTCTCGTGGCTGCATGCAGTTTAGAACAACTTTTTGCCCTAAAGGCCAGTGCCACTGATGTTACAAATGTGTCAAGAATCACAGTGGCATTGTACTTCATTCTACAGAACTGAAACATAA